GTGTGTGTGTGTGTAGGTACGTATTGTAGAGCGCTGCTGTGTACATATGTACGTGTGGCTAAACGCCCGTTTTTGAATTTATTGCGCGTATCTGTGTGTCGGAAACACGCACTGCCAGGTGCGTGTGTGTATGAAGGAGTCAATTAGGCGTGTGCTTCCTAGTATAAGGAAACTGCTGCGCCATGTATATGTATATGTATATGTATATGTATATGTATATGTATATGTATATGTATATGTATATGTATATGTATATGTATATGTATATGTATATGTATATGTATATGTATATGTATATGTATATGTATATGTATATGTATATGTATACGTATACGTATACGTATATGTATACGTATACGTGTCGATGGGGATATGTGTGTAGAGCTACCATGCCCGCGCCTGTGTGGAGGATGAGCGGTGTTCTATCATATGAAGACTGGACTGTCAGTTGGTACTCTCGTAGAGACAACCCACTCTCAGCGCAATCCTCTCTCGAGTAGTAAAGATGGGCGCCAGGTGTGTGTGTATGTATCTGATGGAAGCAGTGCCTGTAGGGTTATAGCGAAAACTCCTAAACCGTCATATGTACCTGCGTGTTGGCAGCTGCTGTACGCTTGTATGTGGTGTGTGTAAGAGAGGAACGGCGGCATACGTATGTGTATACGGCAAGGGTTGGGTGTAGTGTATGTTGTCAGTACCCACGTGTGATGTTCTCATTTCGTGTGCACAAATTATAAGAGAGGCTTCGCACCAGCATACATACATCAATAGATACGTGTACATAGATATATGTATATACAGAGGTGTATACGAGTATATGTATACGTAAACATACATATATGATACATAGACATACAGATTTACACAGGAGTACATACGAGTATATGTATACGTAAACATACATATATGATACATAAACATACAGATTTACACAGTATATACATGTATATGTATATGTAAACATACATATATGATACATAAACATACCGATTTCCACAGGAGTATATACCTGTACATGTAAACGTAGACATACATATATGATACTGATGTACAAATACACACAGAAGTATATCCGAGTACATGTGTGCATAAACATACTTAAATGGTACCTGAACATACAGATATACACGGTAGTGTAAACGTATACATGTGTACGTAAGCGTACACATATGCTAGATAACATACATATATACCGTGTACTAGACGTTAACATGCACAAGATATGTGCTTAATGACTATTCTTCTCAACACTTGCGCAGGTGCGGATAAAGGGATTTGCTCCCACTCTCAGTGTTATCACGTCAAAGCAACGGCCGCGTAAGCTCATGGTTTTGGGTAGCGACGGCCAAACGTATAACTACCTACTCAAGGTGAGTAAACGTACTGTAAACCCGGGGTAGTTGTACTGTGCAACGGAGTAAACATACTTAGGGATGATGTTAACGTACTGTGAATCCGAGCTGCCGTTGGGGGATAGAAGTGCAATCACACTACCCGTGATGCGATTCGTAGGCAGGATATATATCTTGGGTTTTAGGGTTGTAGGGTCTAGTACAAGCCACATATGCCCCTATGCAGACACAACACACGTGTGCGTGCTCTGGTACTCGTCGCCCATGGGCAACGGTATCATTTGATGTTTATACTCATGTTCCCTGGAACAGCACGGGAAGGTGTGTGCACTGCTGGCACGGGTGTGTGTCCTGATGTTTAGTAAGGGATGTGTAGTGTGTAGATGCGCTCTGACTTTGACATCCATCACCCAACCACCACTGAACTCAAACGCAACGGTTATTAAGCCCACGCCACACGCCACTCGTCCTGCATGCGCATGCGTGTCTTCTACGAATGTCACACACGGGTAGCTTTGTGCGTACAGCTCTCAGGCATGCGGTTGTATCCGCCCCCTCTATCCACAACCAGCTGGAAATGCGGTCTAAACCCTAACGACCTTGAGGAGTGCAACGAATACAGGGTCGTATCTGAACTGTGAATCCTAGAATCCTAAACCCTAAACCCTAAAACATCCTGGACATTGATCCCTAAACCCTAAAACCCTACACACACACACCCCACTCGCAGGGTCATGAAGATTTGCGGCAAGATGAGCGTGTCATGCAGTTGTTTGCGCTGGTCAACACACTGCTGGTGTCTGACCCCGAGACCTTCAAGAGTCGCCTCAACATCTCGCGCTACCATGTCATACCTCTCAGCCCCAAATCAGGTCAGTCCATACCCCCAATTGCACCTGTGTTTGGGTTTGGGTTTGGGTTTTTGCACCTACAATTGGGTGTGTGCCCCTGTAACCTGGGGTTCGAGTACCTACCGCATATAATTAGATTGTCCCGATACATGTCGAGCGAGATACAAAGGATGTATTCGCTTTGCAGTTGTAGCTTCTTTATTTGTTTCCTTCTGTCTTTGTCGCAGATATTTATCACTCGTAAATGCAACCGCGCCATCACCGGGAAAAACCCCAGGGTTTAACCCTAAACCCCAAATCTAAAACACTAAATCCTTGTACCTAAAGCGCTTATTGTATACTGCATGCCATTGCCCAAGTGCCTAACAGTGACAAACAGAATATGAAGCACTCTACAACCGCAACTACGACTGTGTGCATCGTCTGGCCATGCGTGATACATTCATCACGTACAGATGTACAAATCTTCTCGTCGTACATCTGGCTTCTTTGGCGCATGTTGCATTGGCCTTATTTGGCGCATGTTGCTTATTATGTCACAGGTTTGATTGGATGGGTACCCCACTGCGATACGCTACACGCACTGATCAAGGACTACCGCGAGAGCAGGAAGATCCTTCTAAATTTAGAACACCGGATTATGCTGCAGATGGCGCCCGACTACGACCATCTCACTGTGCCACAGAAGGCTGAGGTCTTCAACCACGCACTGGAAACGACTACGGGCCAGGACTTGTACAAGGTATGAGAAGATGGTAGTTCAGTGTATATA